AAAACCGTTAAAAGCAAGATTCGCCAAACTGGCATGAGGGTCGGTCATGATAATGAGAGTGTCGCCCAACGGTGTTTTAGAAATGACAAAGGAAAGATAAAATGTTTAACATAATTNGCATGAAAATAGATTTTCTAAAGTTTTTTCCAAAATGTCAAAAATCGACCCCTGACCCATATGGTCAAAACCTGAGGTTCGAACCAAAACCCGATTACCCATTCCCCTACGAACCCAAATGTATAATTTGTTTTGAAATCGGACCCCAAATCCCCAAAATTTGAAAAAACCTAGGTTCTACCCAAACACTCAATTCCCCATGAAAACCCTTGATTTTGAGTTGAAATCATATGAAAAGATGTTAAAGATTGAAGAAAACGAGTTAGAATTGACTTACAATCGGTTTGGAGAAGAACTTTTCTTTGGAAAATCGCCCAAGAGAGTTTATGTTTTGAAAGAGTTTGAAAAATGAAGATTTTCGCCTAAGTCATGAATTTACAGGTTGCAGTTGTCGCAATTGCGACCAGGGTTCGCAATTGCGAACCGTTCAGAACCTGCTAACCTTGCATTTGCGAAAATGCGAACCCTGAGGATTCCGGTCCTCTTCGCATTCATGATGCTACTGTCGCATTTGCGATAAATACATCACATTTGTGACCAAGGCAGCCTAGGTCAAAATTTGCATTTGCGACACATTGTTCGCAATTGCGAAGCCTGCAGGCCTGCAACACACCAGAAATTCCTAAGTCCAAATTTCACTCTGTGGCCTATCCAAAACTCACTCGAGCCCTCGAGGCTCCAAACCAAACATGCACACTAACCTAAAAACATCATACGGACTTGCTCGTGCAATCAAATCATCAAAATAACATCAGCAACTATGAATTTAGCATCAAAATCAAAGAAAATCTCAAGAACTTTCAAAGTTTCAAATTTTACATCTAAGGTTCCGAATCGCGTCATATAACCTCCATTCTTACCAAAGTTTACAGGCTCAACTTAAATCACATATAAGACCTGCACCGGGCATCGGAACCAAAATACGAGCCCGATAGCATCAAATTCCAAACACATTTCATTTCCAAAAACTCATATATATTCAAGAAAATTATTTTCTTTAAAAATTTATTTCTTGGTCTTGGGACATCGGAATTCGATTTGGGGCATACGCCCAAGTCCCATATTTTCCTACGGACCCTTCGGGATTGTCAAATCACGGGTCCTGGTCCGTTTACCCAATATGTTGACCGAAGTCAACTTTAATTCATTTTAAAAGCAAAATTTATTATTTTTCATAGATTTTCACATAACAGCTTTCAAGATATGTACCCGGACTGTGCACGCAAATCGATGTAAGATAGAAATAGGTTTTAAAGGCCTCAGAACACAAAATTTATTTCTAAAACAAGTGATGACCGTTTGGATCATCACATTTTCCATCTCTAAAAAACCATTCGTCCTCGAACAGACATAAGAAAGAAGTACCTGAGTCGGAGAAAAGATAGGGATAACGGCTCCGCATATCGGACTCGGACTCTTAGGTCGATGCCTCAACAGGCTGACCTCTCCATTGAACACGAACAAAAGGAAAACTTTTCGATCTCAACTGACAAACCTACCAGTCCTGAATAGCTACCGGCTCCTCCTTATAGGATAAGTCCTTGTCCAACTGGACAGTGGTGAAGTCTAACACGTGAGATGGATCGACGTGATACTTTTGAAGCATGGACACATGAAACACTGGATGCACGACTGATAATCTCGGTGGCAGCGCAAGTCTGTAAGCTCCTCCCCTACTCGATCAAGAATCTTAAACAGGCCAATGAACCTAGGGCTAAGCTTGCCCCTATTCCCAAATCTCATCACGCCCTTCATATGCAACACCCGAAACAACACTTGCTCACCGACCATGAATGCCAAATCACGAACCTTACCGTCGGCATAATTCTTTTGCCTGGACTGAGTTGTACGAAGCCTATCTTGAATAATCCTGACCTTGTCCAAGGCATCTTGCACTAGATCTGTACCCAATAACCGAGCCTCTCCCGGATCAAACCATTCAATAGGTGATCAACACCGCCTACCAAATAAAGCCTCAAAAGGAGACATCTGGATGCTCAACTGGTAGCTGTTGTTGTAGGCAAACTCTGCTAAAGGCAAAAACTGATCTCATGAGCCTCTAAAGTCCATGACACAATCTCGGAGCATGTCCTTCAAAATCTAAATAGTACGCTCAGACTGCCCGTCCATCTGAGGATGAAATATTGTGCTCAACTCGACTTGTGTGCCTAATTCTTGCTGAACTGCTCTCCAGAAACGTGAGGTAAACTGTGTACCTCGATCAGAAATGATATACACGGGCATACCATGAAGACGAACAATCTCCCAGAAATAGATCTCAGCTAACCTCTTATAACAGTAGGAGACTGCCACCGGAATGAAATGTGCTGACTTGGTCAGCCTATCAACAATAAACCACACTGCATCGAACTTCCTCTAAGTCTGTGGGAGTCCAACAACGAAATCCATAGTGATACGCTCCCACTTCCACATAGGAATCTCAATCTTCTGGAACAAACCGTCAGGTCTCTGATACTCGTACTTTACCTGCTGACAATTCAAACATCGAGCCACATAT